GGCGAGCGCGCGCGCGGGGACCCGAACCCGGCCCCTCACCCTCTCCCTCTCGCTCATGGCCTGTCCCTCCGCAGGGCAAGCAGAAGAAGGCGAGGAAATACGCCACCATGAAACGTATGATCAGCCTTCGCGACCAGCGCCTGTGAGTGTCCGCGCGGGCTGTAGCGCCTGAGACATCCTGGGCGGCCCCCGGGAAGCCGCGCGCGCGCCTTCCCCCGCCACTCGAAAGGCTTCCCGGGCGCGGGGTCTGTGGGCTGCAAAGGGCACGGGTCGGCGCCGCTTGTCTCGCGGCCAAGCCACGGCCCTGCAGGCGCCGCACAGCGCGGGCCAGCCCTGTCTGCGGCGCTGGTCCCACGTGAAAGGCTGGTGAAGGAACGGGTTAGCGCTTTGCCTCAGAACAGTCCCGGCCACTTAGAGTCCCTGTTGTGATGCACAGCAAATCTGATGCTGCTCTTGCACCCAGGGGTCTCTGGGGACTTCATCTTATCCAGAGGTAAACAATAGAAGCCAAAGCAAGTTCCTCTGAAGTAGGCACTGGGGTACTGGGACACTAGCAAATGTTACTAAGAGCAGCTCCATTCAACACAGATGTGCTCACTCACTACCCCTGGGGCCCTCACAGCCCATCCTCAGGGTTTGAGGCAAGTTCCAGGCTTCCACCCCTCTACCTTTGTGCGGCGGGGGAGTTTTATACAGCTCAGGTTCTGATTGTTGTGTTCCCACCCATTCCTCTGAGATAAGGAGTCCTTGGCCAATTCAGTAGGGATCAGGGAAACTGAATCGCAGTCTGCGGCCATTGTTCTTTCCTAGGGTTGCCATATTAGCATGGGTTGTGATCATCACTAGCCTCTCTATCTCATCTCTCTCTCACAACCCACTTCTCTCATACTAATGTTTGGGATTTAGACTGAACTTCTGGGATGAGAGTATCTGGGAGAAGGCATGTAGTGACATACCCAGCCCAGCAAAAAGGAGTGAAGGGTATTCAGGACTCCCCAACCCTACTCCAGGCTGGAATAAGCTCATGTCTTATTAGGGTCAGACATCTGTTTTCCAGTTTGATCCATTTTGCTGTCAAGGAGACTTCCTGAGATCCAGTATTCCTTTCAATAAAAATCCATTCCAGTCTCCCAGCTCCTTCTCCCTAGCATCTCCCTCAGCTGCTGCTTCCCCAATATTCTTTACACTGTGAAGACTTTTTTCTTATTCTCTTCACTGTTCTTGGTCTGCTCCCGGGTTGAAATGCATTCAGAAGTATTTTCTGGACATATTTTGTGTGTTTGTATTTAGGAAAGAAAAAGATCGAGCAAAACCCAAGGTGAAAAAGAAGGATGATCCCAGTGCAATCAAGGAGAGAGAGGTGTAAGTACCCCCAAAAATTCTACATGCTGCCTTACATGCAAGGGAGTCAAATAAGGATTCCATGCTCCAGTACCGGTGGGGGTTGAGCGGGTGAGCAGAAGCTCTGCAGAAAAGGATCTGGGGGTTACAGTGGACAATAAATTGAATATGAACCAACTGTGTACCCTTGTTGGAAAGAAAGCTAAAGGCATACTGAGCAGCGTTGGTAAGTGTGTTGCCAGCAAATCAAGGGAGATTATTCTTCCCTATCAGTTCTGGTGAGGCCACATCTGCAGTACTGTGTCCAGTTTTGGGCCCCCACCAGAGCTGTCCTTAGGGGTGTGCAGGGCCCAGGGCATCTCAGCCTGTGTGGGGCACTGGGATGGACAAGGTGGGTGGCAAGCTGCCAGAGCTGGGGGGGAAGGGGGGAGGTTGGTGAGCGGTGGCAAAATCAGCGGTACATGGCAGCCATGGTGGGGCCTGTATGCCCTGATTCACGCTCCTCACCTAGGGATGGCCCTGCCCCCCCACTACAGAAAGGATGTGGACAAATTGGAGAGAGTCCAGCAGACAGCAATGAAAATAGTGTGGGGGCTGGGGAACATGACTTCTGAGGAGAGGCTGAGGAAACTGGGCTTATTTTGTATAGAGGAGAGAAGACAGAGGGAGGATTTAATAGCAATCTTCAAATACCTGAAGGGTAGTTCCAAAGCTGTTCTCAGTGATGGCAGATGACAGAATAAGGAGCAATGGTCTCAAATTGCAGCAAGGGAAGTTTAAGTTAGATATTAGGAAAAACTTTCTCACTAGGAGGGCAGTAAAGCACTGCAACAGGTTACCCAAAGAGGTTGTGGAATCTCTGTCTTTGGAGTTTTATAAGACCTAGCTAGACAAAGCCTTTGCTGGGATGATCTAGTGGGGGGATGGTCCTGGTTTTAGCAGGGGGTTGAACTAGACAACCTCCTGAGGTCCCTTCCAACCTTAATTTTCTGTGATTCTATGAAAGTATCCCTGGCCTTTCCGTGGAGAAAAGTCCAACACGGGTGGCTTCAGAAAGATCTTTCCTATAGGCCACAGAAGAGGAGTGGGAGGACTCTGGAAATTTGTTGAACCTGGTCTAAACTTCCTAATGTGCATAATGGGAAAAATGCTATTATTAAGAGAGGGAACAGACTCTTGGAGGGGGTAGAGGAGACTGTCCAGTCATTCCCACCATCCTTCCCAGCCACAGTCTCAAAACTACCTGGCTGTGCATATTTCTTGGCATATCTGTTCATAAGTAGAGTCAGTTGGGAGTAACTGATCTGGTTTCTCTCTTTTCCTGACAGGCCACAATACCCCTCTTGTTTATTCTTCCAGTATAACACACAGTTAGGTCCTCCTTATCACATCCTGGTTGATACCAACTTCATCAATTTCTCCATTAAAGCCAAGCTGGACCTGGTGCAGTCAATGATGGACTGTCTGTATGCCAAATGTGAGTGTCCGTTTGCAACTTCTCCTGGAAGAAATAATATTGTCGTGTGCTCAAGGCTGTTCTTACAATGAGGGGCCATGGAAGGCAGCACAGCCACTTTTTAGGCTTCATAGCGCTAGCGTAAAGCAAGGATTGTCAACTGGGGGTACGTGTACCCCTGGGGGTACTTGGGAAGGCCCTAGGGGGTATGCATGAGTGGGTGGGCAGGGATGGAGTGCTGCCACCACCACCCCGTGCCACTGTCTCCCAGGAGCAGGGCTGGACGTTGTGGGGGAGGGCAAGGGCAGTGGCGCCCCCCTTCAGGCCGCACATGCCACCCACCACCCTGTACTACTGCTGCTCTGCATCTGGCCGGTGGGGGTACACTTATTAAAAAAGGTTGAAAACCCCTGGTATAAGGTAACAAAATGCCATTAAAAGAACCTATCCTGCCAGCAGAGTACAGGGCTCAAGGGAACTTGAGTGTTGATCAGTGAGTCTGGGATCCATATTCACTCCCAGCTTCCCTGCAGGTTAAAAATAATCATTCAAGGTTGTTATCTCATAATGACAAAAGATCAGATCAAAAACAAAAATTTTAAATTCAAAATATATCCAGAAGATCAGAAAGGTTTAGTGAGAGCTGCACAAATTACTGTTTAGCTTGTTTGTATTTCGTTACTTCCCAATTTTCATGATTTTTTTTTTTTATATGTTGGATTATATGTAAGCAAGTCAGAATAATGGTCTACTTAATAGGTAGGGACCTATTGAATTCACAGTGGAAGCGGGGTGTGTAGCGGCTCCTTTAATCTTTCAGGGTCCCCCAGTGTTGATCAGGAGAGGGGCCCCACCATTTGTGGCTCGCTCCTAATTGGCAGGAAGGTGAAAACCACAGTTTTAAATATGGTGCCATTTTTGCCTCCCACTGCTGATTGGCCAAGCTCTTTACCGAGGGGCCCCAGCAGCCCTGCTGCTTGGTGCTGACTGGCAGGGAGGCAAAAACAGCACCATATTTAAAATCATGGTTTTCGCTTCCCTGCCTATCGAGAGCAAGTAGGGAGTGAAGAGTAGCTGTTGTGGGGGGCCTAGGGGACCTGCAAGATTAAAGGAGCTGCCGCACACCCCACTTCTGTTGCAAATTCAGTAGGTCCCTATTAATAACTAGTACGAACTATCTCGCATTCTCTAGAACCCATCATCACTTTATTTATATCCTGTAAGGACCTAGTGCACTGTTGGTGCAAACACAGATAATTAACATTCATATTCTGTTCATTCAGGTATCCCTTGTATCACAGACTGTGTAATGGCTGAAATTGAGAAGCTGGGACAGAAGTACCGTGTTGCACTAAGGTGGGTACAGGATGCCAGACTGGTTAGTAGGCTGTGCAAAACAGCACTGTTTCGTTTCAACTTCCATTTTGCCATTTCAAAGGAGGACAGTGTTTTGTTTCATCATTTCATTTCATTTTGTTTCGAAGCATTGTTCCGTTTCATTTTGTCGAAACTGTTTGGCTGTTTCAACACATTTTGACGTTTTGCCCGTAGGTTATAATGGGTAATCATGAAAATGCCTAAAACTTTGTCATTGCTTGCCTCATTCAGATGAAAATTTCAGGGATAGTAGCCCCTTCTGAGGGCATGAAGCCTGCCAAGTTTCAAGGAGATAGGTTTAGAGGTTTCTAGGAAACTGCACCTCAAACTGGGAGGGCTGCGGGGCTGTACCAGACAACTCCTGGGGGTGTGGGTCCTTGGATCTGTGCACCGGATGACAGGAGGCTGCTGCTGCCACCTGGAACTGAAGCTGGACTCAGCCCGCACCCAGCACCAGGGAAGATTGCTGCTGCTGCTGGCCCCAGGCAACAGCAGCAGCCTCCTGTTATCCAGTGCGCAGATTGGTACAGCCCTGCAGCCCTCCTGAGGGTGCAGGCCCCCGGATCTGTGTGCTGGATAACAGGAGGCTGCCTCTGCTGCCTGGGACTGGCACTGAAGCCAAGTAAGCCCGGCTTTGAAATTCAAAACGTTTCGAAGCTGTTTTGAAGCCTCTTGTTTCATTTCAATTTTGCTGTTTTGAGTTTGAAACGCATCAAAACACTTCGTAACGAAACACCTGGAAAAATTTTGCACAGCCCTACTGGTTAGGTCTGTATCAGGACTGTCCAACTGGTACCCCATGAGGGGGTATCGTGTGGCTTGTGGGCTCTTGCCTAGCTGCCGCTTGCTTTTGCAGCTGCAGTAGCCGTGGTCTCCAGGCTCCCCCTCCCTCCTTCAGGTTCTGATTCCTGTCCCTGCTCCTGGGACTGGGGTGGCACAGCAGGAGGGGGTCAAGCTGCCCATGCTGTCCATGAGTAGAAGGAGCCAGGCTGTCCATGCTGCAGGTAGACTGCTTGTATAATATGCACAGCTGGGGGTGCGGGTGCTGTGTGTGTGTGTGGCAGTGGGGCTGGAGCTGGGCTGCCTGTGCTGCAGGGCAGACTGCCCATGGGAGGTGCAGGGTGGGGTAGGATGCTGGGCTGCATGTGCGGGGTGGGGAGGCAGACTGAAGGGAATGGATCTGTGGCCCACATTGCATGTGGGCTCCAGGTGCCTGAAAGTTGAACAGCCCTTGTCTGTGCTATGGGGGCTCCTGCTGCTTTAGCTGTCATGGTAGCATTTAAGCAACTGGATCCCCTGATGTGGATGCGGATCTTCTGTTTAAAAGGAGTTCTCCTGCTTCCAAATGCTACACAAGGCACCAAATGGTAAAAAACTCTGCTGAGAGACCTGCTGCCACTCCAGGGGTTTTGCTGACGGAGCTCCATTGGCCAGCAGGTGTGATCTTTCCACCTCCATAGCTGATGTAGCTCTGCCTGTGAGTGTAGTAATACAGGCCTCTAGTCTCTGTTCTTCAGTCCTTTTCCTTTCCATTTAGCTACTCCACACACCTCACTGACTTGTTTAAACAGTGTTAAATATATAACACACAAAGGCATCCATTCAACATGCATTTTAACTATGCATTGGGGAAATAGAAGATTCTTGTCTCTAAAGCAGGTTAGATTCGGCTGGGGTGGAATGCTCTGTCAGAGCTTGTCTTCTGAACCTGTCAGTTTCTGCACAATTGCAGTAAGCTTTTATTTAAAAAAAAAAAAAGCATGGTGCAGATCCAAGCCAAAACTCAGTAGCATCATAGCAAGAATTAGTTTGGAAGGACACATTGTGAGATATATTCGCAAAGGCTAGGGACAAAAATTATACGCAAACCAGTATAAGCAGTCAGAAACGGGTTCAATTTGTAAAACAACAGAAGTTCAGTGCACATAACCTGCTTTCAAAATGACTGTGCACATAAACTGCTTTTAAAAGTTAGAACGTGCCAACTGTAAGTTTTTGAGTTTATCTTAAACTGAAACTAGTTTAAGATAAAGCAGGATGGATATAGTATCAGATTTAACTGATTTAAGGTAAATCAGTTTACTGAACTTCTGTCCCAGATCCCCTCCAGATTCAAATTAACTCACAGTTGCCCAGCATCCCAGGATGCTTTGCACCTCTCCCACAAACCGCCCCCTCTTTGTAGGGTGGGCAGGCTAGCCCAAGCTGCTCTGTTCCAGCCAAGCAAGGGGGCATGCTCTAGCACAGTGGTTGCCAACCAGTTGATTGTGATAGAATAATCAATTGTGGAGCTACTCTCGGTGGATCCTGGGCTGGGCACGCACATGTGCCCTCTCCTCCTCCTTCCCCCCCCCCATCAGGTCAGTCTGTTGGGGAGAGAAGGGGCAGGGGCCAGATCAAGGCCTCCATGGTGAGGGACAGATGGAGTGTGGCACATCCAAGAGCAGGGGAAGGTGAGTGGGACCCTAGTCCGGGCAGGTGCTGGGAGGATTGGAGACCAGGGGGCTTGTCTGGGGGCGGGGAGGGGTCCCACTGCTGGGTGCACCCTGGCGGAGGCCCTGGGAGCATGTGCCCCCGGTCTCTGTGCAGGGTGGTGGCAGCTGCCGCTGCCCGCTGTGCCTCGAGCCCCACTGCAGCTGGCCTGGGAGTGTCATCATGTGCATCCCGCCGCTGGGCTGAGCCACACGCCCTGCCTGCCTGGCGGCAGGATGCATGTAGCATAGGGCCCCAGTTTGGCCAGATCTAGAACTATCAGCTTGTCCAGGGGTGCATGGGGAGGTCTCCCACTGGTGGGTGCACTCGTGTGGAGGGGCCTGTGCTCCACCCCACCTGTGCTTGGGGGCACAGGCTCCCAGGGCCTCTGCCAGGGTGCGCCCAGCAGCGGGAGCCCCCAACACACCCCTGGCCGAGCAGATAGTCCCAGACCCAGATGGGCCAGGGCCTGATGCTACCTGTGTCCCACCGCCAGGTGGGTGCAGCTCAGCCCAGCTATGCGACTCACGTGGGGTCGGACTGCAGCCCATCCAGGTCTCAAAAGAGCTGCTCGTTCAAGGGGCGTGGGGGTGGGGGTTCTCCACCACTGGGCACACCCCAGCGGAGGCTCCAGGGGCAGAGGTAGCTGCTGCTGTGGGCTGCTTTTTGTGCCTCGAGCACAGGTGGGGGGAGCACGGGCCCCCAGGGCCACTGCCAGGGTGTACCCAGTGGTGGGAGCACCCCCAACGTGCCTCTGGATGAGCAGATAGTCCCAGTCCGTTTTGTCCCAAAAAAGGAGCCTTTCCTGATGCCATGTGTCTCGCTGCTCGACAGGTAGGGGGCGAGGCTCAGCCCATCGGTGGGATGCACATGGCATCAGGCCGCTTCCAGGCCAGCTGCAGCAGGGCTTGAGGTGCAGTGACAGCTGGCTCCACCCCATGCACATATGGGGCTGGCATAGTATGTATTATAGTGGGTAGCTTATGTAATGAATACAGTAACAACAAAGCACTTAGATTCATAGATTGTAAGGCTGTAAGGAACCTCAGAAGATCATTGGGTCCAGCCCCCTGCACCAAGTAGGAAAGATAACTGGGGATCAGGTGACTCTCTAGTCTCCTCTTCAAGATTTCCAGGGTAGTCTGGAGGGAACTTATTCCAGTCTGGACACCCTGACTTGTGACGAAGTTTTTCCTAATATTGAGCCTGAATCGATCTTCCAGGACCTTGTGGCCATTACTCCTGGTTTTCCCCTCGAGCGCCCTGGTGAACAGTTGTTCACTGAGCCCTTGATGTACTCCCCTAGTGTAGCAGTAAGCTGCTACCAGGTCCCCCCTCAGCCTTCTTTTCGAACTGAAGAGTCCAAGATCCCGCAGCCTTTCCTTGTATGGCTTGCAATGTAAGACTGATCCATACAGGTGGTGCTTCTTTGGCCTCTCTCAAACTTGTCCACGTCCTCATTAAAGTGTGGTGCCCAGAACTGGACGCAGTACTCCAGCTGCGGTCTCGCCAGTGCTGAGTAGAATGGAAGAATCGCTTCTTTGGTTTTGCTGGAGGTGAATCAATTGATGCATGCCAGAATGCTATTTGCCTTACTGGCTACAGCATTGCACTGCCGGCTTATATTCGTACTGTGGTCTATTTTTACCCCCAAGTCCTTTTCACTCATAGTGCTAGTCAGTTTGGTGCTGCCAAGCCTCTAGGTGTGTTGGTGGCTGCTTGTCCTGAGGTGGAGCACTTTACATTTCTCAATGTTGAACTTAATCAGATTCTGATCTGCCCAACTTGCTAGCCTGTCTAGGTCTGCCTGTATCTGTAGCCTATCTTCAAGTGTGACCATGCTTCCCCATAACTTGGTGTTGTCTGTGAACTTGGCCAGTGAGCTCTTCACCCCCCCCCCCACCCCCCCATCTAAATCATTAATAAAGATGTTGAAAAGTACTGGACCAAGCACCGACCACTGCAGGACATCATTGTCCACTTCTTATCAGGATGACGCAGATCCATTCACTATGACTCTCTGGGTTCTATCTTGCAGCCAGTTTCTTACCCACCTGATTGTCTCAGAGTTAAGCCCACAATCCTCTAATTTTCTCGCGAGGACATCATGGGATACTAGATCAAAAGCCTTTTGGAAGTCAAGGTATACAATGTCAACCTGCTCTCTCATGTCCAGGTGGCGAGTTACCTGGTCACAGAAGGAGATGAGGTTGGTAAGGCAAGACCTGCCTGCAACGAAGCCATGCTGGCTGCCATTCAGAACCTTACCTGTCTGTCATCCCCCCCACGTGCCTGGGTGAGCTGCCTGGCCTCCAATCCTCCCACTCACCCTTGCCCCTGCCTCTGCCCCACTCCCTCCCTCACTGGGACTTGAATTAAAAAATGATCTGGTACTTAAAAAGGTTGGAGACCACTGCTCTAGCACCTCCCGGCTTCTGGCCTGGGCCATTGAAGACATGTGGCTGCATTTCCAGAATCAAAAGTGAATATCTATCCACTTGCTAAGAGTCAGCAGTCTGGATATGGCAAGTTGTCTATTATACTGGAGAATTCTACTGGTCAAGACCATACAGAAGTTGGAGACAATGATAAAACCTTTACCAATGTGGCAAACCAGACCTTAAGATTTAATTCTTTGATCCAGTTGGTGATGTTTGTAGCAAGACTTCTGCCGCTGGCACTTAGATCAAGCCAAAGGAAAATAGGACAGAAGCAGGTAGGCTATTGGAGGGAGGGGGAGTGGGTATTAAGGAATCTCACACGAGAGAGAGCTTGTTTTGTAAAGTCCTGCAAGGTCCTCAGTAGCAGTTCCATAGGTTGCATTGTGTTCTCCCACTATGAGCTCTGAAACCTTTGTGGGTCCTTTTAATATTGGGGTCCTCACAGACTCAAACAAAGTCTATCCAGCCCTGAGCTTGCACCAGTTAAAATGTGCCAACTGTAACTTTCTGTGTTTTATCATTATTACAATAAATACTTTAATGTATTTTTTTCTTGCATATTCTAGTCTATTTTCTTAAAATTTATCTTCAGCCTTTTGAACATTAATTGCATTTGCTTGCAAGATCACTGAAAAATGTCTACAAGTGGTATGTTCCTAGAGCATTCTGCCTTAGCACAGCTATGGGGAAAAAAGGAGCCTCTCCATGCCCATAGAGCACCGAATTTTCGTATTGTTCCAGGTCTTGTAACTACCTTGCATTCTTCTTGCCATATGAAAGGCACCTGCCAGCACAAAGGTTCGTTTTTAGGGCATGTTTTGGAAAAAAAGAAATGGCATAAGTGAACCCTGTTAAAAGCAATCTCCTGATCTTGTTACGTGCCACATATTTGTTTTCCTGCTTTCAGTTCTAACAACATTTCCAAGATCAAAAATCCCTCCAGGCTGAGAATAAGTAGAGGAAAAGCCTGTGTACAAAGAAGGGGGGTTGTCTCTTTCCAAAAAGATTGGCCCAAGATTTCAGGAGCTTCTCGCATAAGCTCAGTCTCAGTCTTGTCAGACTCTTAAAAATGTGAAACTATTCTAGAGCCAGGGTAGTGGCCTGCAACACCATGATCTGTAAGGCATCATTCCAAATTAGGGAACTAGTTCATCTCTGGAACATTAATCACAAGTGATGTTTTTCACTTTCTATATTGACCTGTTGTATGGTATTGCGATACGGGTACTACAGAGCTCTAAGTACTTTATCTCAAAGTGCTAGAAGAAGATATGGATTTTGCACCAAAGCACATGTTTCTTACGTTTTTTTCTGTTTGACTAAAGCCTGGCACTGTGGGGCCCTGATCCTCACTGAGACTCCTGTGTGGTACTGTAATAAAGCAGCATTTGGCAACCATTTTAGGCTGGGGGTTGGAGTGATCCAGTTCAGGTCAGAGGTGGGCAGGTGCTAGGACCCAATTGTTGTTGCTACTGGCAGCAGCAGCTTGGCCCCCAGCAACAAAGGAAGAAGGTCGGCAGTTTCCAATTGTCCCCAAAGTGGCAAGGGGAAAGTGCCTGGAGCTGCTGCTTGTTCCCCCCACCAAATGCTGTCAAAGCCCCATGTCCACAGGCCTGATGAAATGACTCCATGGGCCAGATCCAGCCTGTAAGCCACAGGTTGCCAACCCCTGTAATAAAATGTAACAAGCAGGTGGAATATATTAGCCCAGTTTGTTCCCTGATTCATCCTGTTCGTTTCAGATTGGCTGAAGTGGTGGGTTCACCTGCTGTTCTGAGTCATGGTCTTGAGGTTTGGCCACTGCCCAGAAAGAGGTGGATTCTCCATCCTTGCCTTGTTGTCTGAAAATGTTGCTCTGATCAGGTTGCCTGGATGCTCTCCCTAATGCTGCCTTTTATTATTCCCCAGGATAGCCAAGGACCCACGATTTGAGCGCCTGCCTTGCATGCACAAAGGAACCTATGCAGATGACTGCTTGGTGCAGAGGGTCACTCAGGTACCTCCCATTCCTAGGGGTCATTTTTTGCTTTTCTGGCATGAAAGCTTAATAAGAGTTGCTGAAATCCTGTGGGCATGAATGAGCTATAAAATTGAACACAAAGAAATGGCACTATCTGGTCAGGGTCACTGTAGTTGCAATACTAATGTTAATATATTTGGAGGAAGCTATAACATCCCCATAATGCACCTTGTTGTGCAGTACTATTCCAAGAAATAGGTAAAGTGGATAGTTGCTTCCTGAGTCCTCCAGTCATTGATAAGGCTGGGTAACCTTTGTAAGTCACCTAGATGAGACAACGAGCAGAAGACTGCAGTTAATGTAGTGATACTTTGATTAAAAACAGCTTCATGCCTCCTGCTTGATAGGGCACATCAGCTGTTAGAGTGTAACTGTTTCCTCTGCATGACCCTTTAGTAGGCTTGGCAGGATTTGATTTTTATTGGTAAACTTTGATAAACATCAAGTTTACCTCGCACTTGCTAACCAGACAAATATTTCCATAGTGAATAATCAGAATTTATAGAAAGGGGACTTAAGAAAAATGATGGCTGATGGAGTGTGTGACAACAGGGGGAGCAGTCCTATAGAACCATGCTGACTAGTTTGGACTGTAACTCCTAGAAACCTCAGCAGACTGGGAACAAAGGAAGAGAGAGTAGCAAAGCAGATGAGGGAGCTACCAGTGAGCACAGCCAGAACCGATGGCAGCGCTACCACTCAGCTGGCAGCAGTCCTACAGTAGTTACGTTTGTCACAGCAGGTGGTTAAACTGAACAGTCCTGAAAATTTAAATCGATAAAAATCTAAATAAGTGTTTTAAAATAAACATTAATATTATCCCTCAAAATTATTTAAAGATAAATCAAATTTGAATTCTGCCAAGCCTACCCTTCAGCAAACAAATTAGTTAAACTGCTCTGATTTTAACACTGAATGAAACAGGGTTTGCTATGTTTGTATTGCTACAGAATCACCAATTTGAAGTTATATCTGTTTCTACCTGGTCTCATGTTATAAGTGAATAAAGGCATTTGCTTGACCTTTTCCTTGTTGGACAAATAACTGGTGGCTACTCTGATATACTTCTTTTTTTTTGTTTTGCAGCACAAGTGTTACATTGTGGCCACCGTAGACCGAGATCTCAAGCGGAGAATCCGAAAGATCCCAGGAGTCCCTATTATGTACATTTCCAATCATAGGTGAGAGACCTTTTTAACAGGCAACCATGCTAACTGACAGAGTTGCTCTGTTAGCAGTTTGCTTCCATGCACATTTGATCTATCTTATATTGTTTTTTCTAGTGTGTGTTATTGTATAGTCCTTAATAGCAAGTGTGGTTGCATAAGGGCATATCTGCCTTTGTGAAGAAAGGGCTGTGGGCTATTATAACAGCAGCACCAAAAAGAATAAGTTTGTAAAGTCATTTTTATTATAAACCACTTGGTTGTGAATTTTTTCAAATCTGTGTGGTACCATTTGAGTCTATTTGTTCAACTGGAAATGGCTTTAAACATTATGGGAGCTGCAACCTGATGTAACATAATTTGAAATTGGAAAAACTCAGCAGTTGAAGCCTTTCTAGCTTGTTATGATGGCTTTTTAATCTAGGCTCTTAAATGGCCTTTGCAAACCACCTTCAATATACGAGGTATATATACCACCTTCAGCATGAAATACAGCTTTTGGGGTTGTATCTTTCATTACAACTCTGTGAAACTTTTTATAGGTAAGTAAAATGGGGAGAAATCAAGGCATAGGCAGAGAAGGGAAGATACTTTAGGTTGGATGAGAGGGAGCAGTAGAGGAGAGAAGGTGTTTGTGCTTACCATAGTTGAGGGTGAGAGTCAGGAGATGGGAAATCTAGTTAAGATGAGGGAGGAGAATAATGTAACTGCACCCATGAGTCTGGTTGAGGTAAATCAATGGAGCCCCAACTGCCCGCTAATTGATATGTAGCTTTGATTACTTCTTATACTAAATATTCCTTGTCCTCATCCTTTAGAGCCTTTGAATCCAAATTGAGCAGCTAATAAAACAGCTTTCTGAAGTTCTCTGCTTGCCATATGTTCTGTCATTGAGCTGAAAGCATTAATGTTATTTCTTTAGTAAGAGCTTGGTAGGAAAAATATTTCCTTATCTGGGGATGACTAATTCTCTGAGGTGTCCACATCCAGTAAACGGTAATACTGGATCACTGGTGGTGATCTCCCTGCATCTCCTCGCTGCTATCAGGCTTCAAGCTCAAATCCCAAATGATAGTAAAGTCAGAATGCCACCTGGTGGCTTGCTGCCAGGTACGTCTGTTTTGGCTGCTTACTGCAATCATTACTTACAAAGAGGAATGTGACAGGGCAGTTACCTTGGAGGCTGCTTTCTGTGCAAGCCGTTCCACACTCACAAGTTCTCTTTCGTCACTTCCAGGTATAATATTGAAAGGATGCCAGATGATTATGGAGCCCCTCGACTCTAATTCTTGCAGCAGAAGTTCCCAAAACTCCCTGCTGCCAGGACTCTGAACAAACCAGAGGGTCCCTTTGTTTCTACCCCCCTCCCCCTTTCTCCTTAATGCTGGGAGCACTGCAAGGATTGAAGATGACAACAGACTGCTGCTTAGGTTTTGTCTTCAGAACTTTGTTTTCTAATAAAAAGCTGTTCTGGATCCATCTGCCTTGTATTCACTTTTGCTCAGACTGCTACTGGTAACTTACTACAATAGGTCATGTGAGCCTTAGGGAGAGGACCTGAGGACCATGAGTATGAGTGCCTATACATTCCTTTCACCTCCCTCTGCAGTAGAGGTGCTTAGAAAAATTTTCTTCTAATGCCTTGCACAAAGGGTCAGGGGACACCCAGCGAGGGGCTAGAGTGAGTCCATACAAGTTCCCAGAAACTGGAGTTTTGGATCAATCTGAACCAGTAATCTGCTGAGGGAGAAATATTCCTCTGGCATTTCAAGCTTAGTTCTGCCCTGTGGTCAGAATTCTGTATATGCTGAAGAACAAGGGAAATACTAAGGCCTTGATAGCTGATATTTCCCACATGGGCACAGAGACTTTAATGAAATGCAGTACAAGAAAATTACAAAATTATGGTTAAGCCTATCTTTAAAACCTTCTTATTTAACTAAGATCCTGACTAAATAGAAGTCTTACATGCTGGAGAGGGTCCAGAGAAGGGCTACTCATATGGTTAAGGGCTTGCAGGCCAAGCTCTACGAGGAGAGACTAGGGCACCTGGACCTCTTCAGCCTCCACAAGAGAAGGTTGAAAGGCAACCTTGTTGCTGCCTATAAATTCATCATGGGGGCACAGAAAGGAATTGGTGAGGCTGTACTCACCAAGGCACCCCTGGGGGTCACAAGAAATCATGGCCATAAACTAGCAGAGAGCAGATTTAGACTGGACATTAGGAAGAACATCTTCACAGTTAGAGTGGCCAAAATCTGGAATGGGCTGCCAAGGGAGGTAGTGCTCTCCCCTACCCTGGGGGTCTTCAAGAGGAGGTTAGATAGACATCTGGCTGGAGTCATCTGAAACCAGCACTAAACCAGCCCTCTTTCCTGCCTATGCAGGGGGTCAGACTCGATGATCTATTGAGGTCCCTTCCGACCCTAACATACAAATCTATGGGCCAACAGTGTGGGGATGCGGTCAGGAAAGCTAACCGCACCTTGTCATGCATCCAGAGATGCATCACAAGCAGGTCCAAGGAGGTGATCATCCCCCTCTATGTGACATTGGTCAGGCTGCAGGTGGAGTATTGCATCCAGTTCTGGGCACCACACGTCAGGAGGGATGTGGCCAGGATGAAGGGGGTCCAGAGGAGGGCCACTCACGTGGTCAGGGGGCAGCAGGGCAGGCCCTACGAAGGGAGGCTATGGGACCTGAACCTGTTCAGCCTCCACAAGAGAAGGCTGAGAGGGGATCTGGTGACCGTCTATAAACTGGCCAAGGGGGACCAGCAGGCTATGGGAGAGTCCCTGTTCCCCCGAGCACTACCGGGAGTAACAAGGAATAACGACCATAAGTTGACAGAGTAGATTCAGGCTAGATATCAGGAGGTGCTACTTCAGAGGGCAGCTAGGATCTGGAACCAACTTCCAAGGGAAGTGGTGCTCACTCCTACCCTGGGGGTCTTCAAAAGGAGGCTACATAGACACCTAGCTGGGGTTGTTTGATCCCAGCATCTTTTCCTGACCGTGGCAGGGTGTCAGACTTGATGATCTGCTCAGGTCCCTTCCGACCCTAACTACTATGAAGCTATGCTATATCTGAGGAAAGCTAGTAAAATTCCTCCCCTGTCCCATGCTCTATGTTTTGAGAACACAACCACATAGGTTATTGAGGACAAATCTGCCATCAAGTGTCAAATAAGCAAGCTGGTTTGTCTGAATGTGTCTCAGGCATGTACATATGATTCTCAGTGATTCTCAATATGGGTACCGCGGCACAATGTTAGCACTGTTATATGTGCAAACACAATTCAGAAGATAAACCCAGAAATGTCAAATAGGAATCCACAGTAATAAAAACATTCTGGCCTTTTGTGGTCTGAGTTATTTGAAATGGCAGAATTGCTCTATTATTAGCCTGTACAGTAGTCAAAATTTGAGTGAAAACTAAGAGCTGATGTTTTCTGAGAGGTGTCTTGAGTCTAAAAAGATTGAGAGCCATTGGGATAAGCCAACTTTTGCCTTTTACGGGGCTATCATCTTGGTATTCCTCTCCAAGTCTAACATCTACTTCCACGTGCTTCTTCATGCCTTGCAAAAAGCATGCAACATTCATAAGATAGCACTACTTACAGCATTTTTGCAGTGCCCTTCCAGCCATTTTGCCCTACGTAAAGAGGATGGAGCAGGACAGAACAGGTGCCAGGCTGAATGTGTGACATTAAGCCATATACAGGCAGTCCTCGCACTTATGACAGGTTACGTTCCTGGAAAAGGCGCTGTAAGTCGAATCTGATTTTCCCATAGAAACAATGTTATAATAGGGGGTTATGTTCCTGACCAAGGGCCTGATGCCCAACTTTTTATAGAAATGACCATAAACACCGGAGCTGCTAGAGTGCAGGTGGGACACACCAGCCCCAGGAGCGATTCCCATGGCCCATCCCGCCCCGCCTGGGGTCAGAGCCAGGAGCCCTGTGCCGCCAGGCAACGGTTCCAGCCCCATGAGCCTGTGCCAAGTGGCTGGGTACAGCATCCATCACCGTCGCTAGAGCACTGTCTTTTCCTTTTATCAGCCATTTTTAAGGACTGAATATATAAACAAAGTTTAACATGCACTAAGAATCCAAAGAATACAAGAAACTTACGCGCCGGAGCACATCAGGAATCAGACTGACTGGGTGACGTATGTACGTTTGTGTGCTGCCTGAGTTGCTGTCATGCCATAAGTGTGAGTATCCAGTGCTGTAAGTAATAACATGGATGTAAATGGCGGAGCGCTGCAAGTGCGAATCACCGTAAGTCGAAACACCAGAAGTCGAGGACTGCCTGTACTTGAACCTCAAAGCTAAGAAGAGCTCTCTATTTGGGCTGACAGCAGGGTTCAATTATTCTCTGTTAAGTCATCATGTAGATAAGGCAAACTGCAGTACACTGCACTAGCAGCTGTAGCTGTTTCTGTTAGTTAGGAAATCTGTCCCAATATACCAGTGTATCTTCACCAAAATGTTGCCACTAAAATGTCTTCAAAAAAGTTTTAAAAGCTGTGTCTGGTGCTTGATTTCAGATGTTTTAATCCAAGGCTGTCCCTGAAACTGTCTTCAGACTAAAAAATGGTGATGTAACCTAAGGACTTGGGAAGGTACTAGAGTATACTTCCTGCCCCAAGCAGGAAAGAATACCAGTGTCTGGACCCAAGCCTTTCTTCTGTACAGGCTCACCTGAGGCTGGGGTCCTTACTAAGTAATTGTAAATCTAACTGATAATAATTAAATCTAGATTGTCTTTTTCACTCAAGTAAATTCAATCTCTAAAGTGCTAATTATGCAAAAATCAGTCAACATTCTGAAACCCACACTACTTGTTCAGGTAAGGATCAAGCAAGGGCTACAGGATTATATCTGTGTAGCCAAATTTTCAGAGCAGCTCTTATTTAAGGATGCATCTCCACTGCACATTTAACTAGAGTTCTCTACCCCAAAGTTATTTCTGTCAAGTTAGTCTAGCTCTAGCAAAAGCAGCCAGACTACAAAATAATCCTCAAGCTGCTGGGTCCACACTGGCATTCTTTTTTGGTGCTAAGATTTTTGGGAGCTTATCCTGTGGTTCTTATCACTTCAGTGAGTTTTTCTATTAATTCTTTCCCAGTGAATTGTGAAAGAATTTGTCTGCTCTTTATGGCAGACAAGGTTCTTTGGGTGAATCTGATCTTTATGGGCACATGGAGGAATTCTGGCAAGGCACTGCAAGACACAGCACTAGTTAACTGATGCCAGTTTGCATTCACACTACAGAAAGGGAATGTTACCAGTTAAGTTGTATTTACCTAGGTTTTAGCCCATCTGCCTGATAAGCACCCCTTGTTTCAGGGGCACCTGGCTAAACCCCTAGGGACAGAGGTAGGGCTGGAAGCCATGTCCAGCAGAGATCCCTTGAACTTTTACTATGCATTTTCTACTTCAGGAACAGCTTCGTGTTCTGAAAAAAGTATTTTATCTAACCAAGGGCATACAGTAGATTGTTTAGGCTGGGGGAGATTGCTTGTTGCGTAGTTGCTGATTGCTGGCCTCGCTAGAAGGAAAACTGTATCAACAAAGTTCCGGAGCTGGAAGGGGGGTTACTTGCTGGGCTTGCTATACATGTCATCACATCAGCAGGTTTAACCTGTTACGTAGCTATATAAGGCAGACGCCCACTGGGGTGGGGGTGCTTGCTTTGCGAACAAGCACCACTTTGTGCGCAGAAATAAAGTTTAAGTTGGATCCTTCACCCCGTGTGTTTATTGGCACAAGCGCACTGGGCACGAACTCACCGTCCTTTGGGGACAACAATTTCTGGCGCTCAACGTGGGGCCTAGCTGACTTCCTTGCCTGGTCCACCTCTCCGGCTCCGGCAACAACTGTGGACGGCGCGAGGGCCAGGCGCCACCGACCTTATTCGTCGGAGGTCTGACCGTCTCCTGGTTGCCTGACGGAGTCGGGGAGGGGCACAACGGCGCAACGCTCGAAGGACCAACTTAATCAGGTGGGGCGAGGGAGGTTTCAACGGACTGGTGAGTACTTCTTTCCATATTTTGGCAGGTTGGGAAAGAGATGGCTTTGAAAGTTCCGACCGTGTAGACGCCCTAGGCGAGTGAGATCGGGTGGCAGCCCCGTGAACTCCCTTTAATCAGTTTGGTTCTGAGGCTG